GAATCTCTTTTCTGGAATTTTCAGTAAAAAATCCATCCCATTTTTTCATAAGTATAAACACTAATGGAGATCTCTTCTGTAGTGATTGGATTTTCTTCAGTGCTGAAAGATGGTAGGTGCATCTGCAGGCCATGTCACTGAGGGTGGACCCTCTGCCCTCAGAAGGCCCGTACCGATGAGCCCAGGTCTCTGTCAGGTCCTCCGTCAGGAGGACCAGCCCCTGCGCGTGAGGAGGCCCAAGAAGGATTAAAACAATGCACACCACGGGGGGCCTTGACTGTTCGTTTCTCAGAAACCCGTAGACCTTCTCACTGAAGAGCTCCGGGTCAGTTCTACATGAGGAGCAACACGCCATACTTATGTATTTTCTTCATCGTCCATTTTGAAAATATTGAAATGACTGTTGATAAAAATGAGAAGGCATCTGTGTATTACAAGCCTTTTATGCTGGAGTTTCCAGTTGCTGGCCCATATAGAATCTCAACCTTGGAGAAGTTTGTTCTTCATCTTTCATAGTGATTTCATCAGGTAGCAAGCTTGTCAGCAAGGGAACGAGGGGCACGGGGGTGAGGGGTATGGGGGTGAGGAGGGAACAAGGGGCGCAGGGGTGAGGGGCACGGGGGTGAGGAGGGGAAGAGGGGCACGGGGATGAGGAGGGGACGAGGGGCCCAGGGGAGTGGCTCACCTGCACCCCCTCTGCTCCGGCCCTTTGACTGGCCCCACATCCATCAAGTATGATGTGACAGTGACAGAATAGTCCCAAGGTTCTGAGTGATTGCTGGGGTGTGCAACGTCTGTCAGGCAATGAAGTAAAATCTAGGCCATGTGCTTCCCCTGCTGCAGGCTCCCCAACTCAGACAGCCCCGAGGGGTATTGTGTTTTCTCTTCTCCAGCTCAGACAGGGAAAGCACTAAACATCACCCCGAACAGTTCCACAGTTTATGCAGGAGATCTGGAGAAATTGTAATACAAAATAAAACATCTTACACTCCCTAAATCAGATAGAGGTTTTAGAAAAAATGATTTCATAATGGAAAACATTCATTTTTACATTGTACACAAAAACCAAAAACCAAACCCACGGCCGTGGAGTTGATTCTGAGTCATAGTGACTCTGTGGGACAGAGCAGAACTGCCCCATAGGGTTTTCTAGGCTGCAGTCTTTACAGAAGCAGACTGCCACGTCTTCCTCCTTCAGAGCAGCTGGTGGGTTCCAACCACTGACCTTTCAGTTAGCAGCCGAGCGTTTAACCATTGTGCCACCAGAGCTCCTTGTTGTACACATAAGGAGTATTGTTAATATTTTTGCCCGTTTTTCTTAGGATTCTCTGCAGTAGAACTAGATTTCTTTTTCCTGTAGCACATAAGGTAAAGGTTTCTGAAAACTCTTTAATTTGGGTTTTACTTGAAATAAATTTTATCAAATGTATAATTTCAGGGTTTTTCAGTATGCCAATCCAAGACCAAATAACCACTTAGAAAAATTAAGGATGATGTTACACATAAAATGTTAGCAATACTTACTCTTCTTCTCACGAGGGGACCCAGGGAATGTTGAAGTACTGTTCTGTAATGATACACCTATGTTTCAGACAGATTCAGAACTGCCAAGATGTATGAACGGTTACTCGACCGATGCTCAAAACAGGTTCTAGCAACATAGAGAGATTTAGAAGCAGATGATGAGCTAACGTGGGCTGCTGGCTTCTCCCCCACTCCACCTAAGAGACGTTTACACACAGGCTAGAAGCTGACGGGTCTGAGAACGCTCACACGAAACAGAAACCCGCGGAAGCAGCGGAAGGTTGAGTCTTGAGGCGGATGTGGCAGACCAGAGGGAGAGAACGTTGGAGGTCTTGCTGGGAAAGCATCTCAGTCATGCACTTTTGGCCCCCAGTTTACCTGGGGCTGTTTGTTGTCTGGTAGAACAAATGGTTAAGCTATCAGCTGCTAACCAAAAGGCCACTAGTTAGAACCCCCCAGACCTGGCTATCAGCTCCCTTAAAGATGACAGCCTAGGAAACCCTGTGGAGCGGTCCAGTTTGTCATGGGGTCACTGTGAATCTCCAGGGCACACAACAGGACAAATGTTGACCCGTCAGGAGGCTCCTGGAGGCAAGAGAATCTGCAAACCTGCGAATGTTCACTCTGCTCCACCCCTCCCTCCACAACCTGAGACCCAGGGGATTTCAGCCCAGGAAGCCAAAAAACCCACTACCTTCGAGGTGATTCCAACTCATAGCGACCCTGTAGGACAGAGTAGAACTGCCCCATAGGGTTTCCTAGGCTGTAATTTTTATGGAAGCAAACTGCCACAGTTTTCTCCCGGGAGCAGCTGGTGGATTCGGATTTGAACCACTGACCTTTTGGTTAGCAGCCAGACACTTCAACCACTGCGCCACCAGATCTCCTATCCCAGGAGACAGCTGTGGGAAAAGAGCAGAGCCCAGACGGGAAGGGTCCAGGGTGGTTCTCTGAGAGACAAGATGGCGGGATGTGTCAGCCCTCCCGGCATGTGAGGGGGGAAGAAGGCCAGCCTGCACGGAACTCGGCCCTGCAATGGAAAGGCCGCCAACTGAACAGCCTGTGCCAGGGGCAGCGGAACACACAGAAAAGAGAAGTGCGGAGTTTTACAAGTAAGACATAGTAAGTGTTCTCCAAGATGTAAGAGAAGGGACAGTAAAGACACTGGTAGTGTTCTAGATTTCTTAAGCTGGGTCGTGAGGGCAAGGGAATTAATTTTATTTATTCTTTTAATTTTAACGTGTATGCTAAAAAATTTTTTTATGTAATTTGTGTTTTTAAAGAAAGAAAATTCTAAAAACAAAGCTGTGTGGAGGCTGACAACTTGAACTTGTGAACTTGGAGGAAAAAAATGTGTCTACAACAGCATCCCTCACACTTGAGTAATACACTCACCCCTTTTAAAGAGGGGTTCCTAGGAATGTAGCTCCTGGACCTAGTTCAAGAAACGCTGACTTAATCAGCTCATCTTGATTTTTAAATTTCCATAGCAAAGAATTAGCAAAACACAGATTTTGACAGCAAGGAGAGTTTTGAATCTTTATCATTGGTTAAAAAAAAATTAGAGTACCATCAAAATTAAAATTTAAAATTTTTCATAGAACTTTCTCATCTTCAAGAAAATATCCATTGCTCCCAGGGTACGTAGATCCCACTTTGAGAAACACCACTCTAGAAGAAAAAATTCAAGGCTTCCGAGAGGTGCAATTTCAAGGACAAGTTACAGCCTGTGCCCCTCTCAAGGCAGAAAAGTAACAATTAATGAAACCGACACTTTAAAATGAAATAATGAGATACAGATGACACGAAGGCGGATTTATAGACGATACTTGCTCTTTGCTGTGTAAAGTCGATATTGTAGACTCGGTGAAATCATACATTCAGGATAAACAGATGTCATATAATACGACTCTGCTATAATTGTTTAAAATATTTAAAGAGAAATGGGAGCATATAGGGAAGGTAAGACAGACATGAACAAGTATTAAAAAGAAGAACCAAATGGAAATAGTGGGCATTAAAAGACACTCAGTAAATATTTACTGACTCTAGTTGAGTGACCCAGGTCCAAATTATATTGTTAATGAATGTTCCGTGTCCTTCTTTCTGACTGCCTGGCCTTCAGCAGAGCCTTTCGGGTCTCTCACGGGGCCCCCCCGTAGGCCGAGACTGACATTGTATCCAGTCTATCAGAGGAGCCACTCTCGAAGCCCAAGTTGCCCACGCCACTTACCTTCCAGACTCCTCCCTGACTTCTCTTGTTCCTTCTCCCACACTTCTGCACCCCAAGGCTCTGAGAAATCCTGCATTTCCACCCACAATGACGTCTCCAAACAGCTCTCAACTTTGCTGACTGTTTTCACACTGCTTTGCAGCTTGCTCAGCGAGCGCCCTGATTTTTCCTGTCCTCATACAGGTTTTGATCCCGGCTGTGTCTTGCACCTGTGTTTCTTCTCACGGTTGTCAGGGCATTGCTTAGGCTCTCCAGTGGCACGCCTGGGAAGACCACGGCTGCTCAATGGATTCTGAGCAGCTCCACAGAGGGCCTTATACCTTCCTGCTCCCATTCTGAGCCAGTCCCTGTCACTGACAAGGCACCCGCTTGATCCCATTCTTGCCACAGAATGTCATGCAGCTGGACTCTTAGCTAGGTCTGCGCTTATGAAGTGGAAAATTAAGATAATCATAACTTCTTTCCTTTATTACTCTCTCCCCACAACAGCCTTTTTGTTTTGTTTTATTTTGTTTTGGAGATTTTTTGGTAACACCGTAAAATGAGTAAGAGCATAAATTTCAGAATTAGGTAGCTCTGAGTTCAATTTGAGGAGCCCTGGTGGCAAAGTTGTTAAGGACTTGGCTGCTAGCCAAAAGCTCGGTGGTTTGAACCCACCAGTCACTCTGCTGGAGAAAGATGTGGCAGTCTGCTTCTGTAGACTGCAGCTTTGGAGACCCTATGGGGCAGTTCTACTCTGTCCTATAGGGTCGCTATGGGTCTGAATCAATTCGATGGCAATGGATTTGGTTTGGGCTTTTGGGGGGTTCAATTCCAACACTTATATGAACATAGGCAAGTTGAATAACCTCGCAGAGCTTTGGGTTTCTGGCTATAAAGTAGGGATAATGACAGTACCTACCTCATAGGAACGTGGTCATAATTACATGAGATAACGCCTGTAAACGTCTTGGCAGCCTCGACGTCTGTCCCAAAGCAATAATAAGGCAAAGAATGGCCATCAGCACTGTCAGAATGCTCTAGGAGCATCACCTCCGTTAACCTACCCAGTCGTCTAAAGAGCTTACCTACTTGGTGCTGTTGTGATCTCCATCTTGTGGATGAGGAAACAGGCCCAGACGTGAGCAACAATAGTCACGCAGCTAGCAGATGTCCTTAAAGGATATTGACGACTGTTATTTACAATGTTTGATTCAGTGGTGGCACTGGTTTGTAGTGACTTGATGCTGCTGTTTTTTTATAGGTGACTACCCTGCGCCAAGAGCAGTCCTCACGGGTCATGACCACGAAGTTGTCTGTGTTTCTGTCTGTGCAGAACTGGGACTCGTCATCAGTGGTGCTAAAGGTCAGAATTCATTTCTTTCATTTTAGATCTTTAAAAAATGTACCATTAAGGTACAACGATTGATCTCTATTCACCTGTAGCAACAGAGGCAGAAGTCAGGAATAGGAGGAGGAAATGGAATGTGTGGCTAATTGCCTCCGTGAACAACTGCCCCCTTTAACATGAGACCAGAAGAACTGGATGGTGCCTGGCTACCATTACTGAATATTTTGATCAAAGATTCCATAGAAGAATCTTGATCAAAAGGAGGAAAATGCAGAACACAATTTCAAATTCTCATGGATTTTAGACTTTCTGGAGCCATGGAGGCTGGATGAACCTCTGAAACTATTGCCCTGAGATAATCTTTAAACCTTAAACCAAAATTATCCCCTGGAGTCATCTTAAAACCAAACCACAGTCTAACTTAGCTAGTAAAAAATGTCTGCCTTGAGCATTGTGCTCTCTTAAGAACTATCTATGCAGAGTCAAATTGACAACAGCTACTCAGAACGTGAGATGGGAAGCTTAGGAGACAGCAAGTTTATGTTAATGGGGAAGGAACAACTCAGAAAAGGAGGGTGGGAATGGTTGTACAACTCGACGAATATAATCAATGTCACTGAATTGTACATGTAGAGACTGTTGCATTGGTGTATTCTCAACAACATCAACAAAATAAATAAAATTGGGGGGGAAACGTACATTTCTCTCTCGAGCTAACCATGATTTGTAATTCCTTCTCTTAGAAGGCTCTCCATAGACAAATGCAATCCCTAGGTTCTTTGCAGCTGTTCCGTTTTATCATTAGAATTTACTAGTAACTAACAGGAAATATGTATAAAATTTTATGTGGTATTTTGTAGTCGTTCTGGCCAGAACCCCGGTAAATTAAATTGCAGTACATCCATCTGATGCAGACATTAAAAATAACATCTTAAAAGACAAGCAGAAAATACCCATGATGCAGTGGGGTTGCTCAGTAGGTAGGACTGTGATCCGTCTCCATGAGCCCCTTCCTTTTCCTGGGATGGGGGCTGTGTAGAGGCTGGTGGGAAAGGAAACTGGACTCCTAAGCTTCTTCTGACTCTTTGTGGATGAAGCTTAGTTTCGAGAAGAGTCAGGAAACCTGGGTTTTGATTTGGGTCAGATATCAGTTCTCTGTAAGGAGCCCTGGTGGTACAACAGTTAGACACTCAGCTGCTAACCAAAAGGTTGGCAGTTCAAACCCACCCAGCCGCTCCACGGGAGATAGGTCTGGCAGTCTGCTCCCATAAAGATCACAGCCTAGGAACCCCTATGGAGCAGTTCTACTTTGTCAAATGGGGTCACTATAAGTTGGAACCGACTTGACAGCATCCAACAAGAACCACTTCTCCGCAGGGAGGTGTGAGGCAGGAAGGGGCGGAATGGCCCAGTGGAAAGGGAAGGGTAACCAGTGTGGGGGAGTGTGGTGAGGGCAGAGCAGGAGAGGAGCTGGGCGGGAGCGTGGTGAAGGCAGAGCCGTGAGAGCTGAGGGCGCTGCGGGGCCCCTCACAGGCTTTGCAGTTCTCATTTCAGGGTGAGTACAGCGGGAGACACTGAAGTGCTGCGAGCAAAGGGATGGTGATTAGATTTGGGTTTTAAGAGCTCGTTCTGGCTGCTTTAGGGAGAACCCGCACAGTGTCTGAAGGCAGGGACTGTGGTTTTTTGTCTTAGTATCTAAGAATACGTAACCAAAGACGGACACAGGGGGACTTCCAGTGTCTTTTAACTAAAAAAAAAAAAGAAAGGCAACAAAATAATGTTATTCTATCTGTAAATCTAAAACAAAAAGAAAAGCAAACTAAAAGACGCAGGCATAGGGGAAAAATTAATTTTCTGTAAGTGGTGATACTACAGGTGATTCCTTTTTTTCTGTATTTCCTATAATGCGCATCGATCACCTCAGTCTTCAGGGAAAAAAATTCGGTATAGCTATATAATATCACAATGTAAAATACCTAATTTTTTTTCCTGATGACTGAGGTAATAAATGTGCATTATAGGTAATACAGAAAAAGAAAAAAAAATCACCTGTAGTATCACCACTTACAGAAATTAAAAGCTCGGCTGCTAACCGAAAGGTCAACAGTTCAAAACCACCAGCCGCTCCTTGGAAACCCTGTGGGACAGTTCTCCTCTGCCCTGTAGGGCCGCTGTGAGTCAGAGTCCACTCGGTGGCAACAGGTTTGGGTTTGGTTTATAATATCACTTGTCTTGTCTATTAAAATCAATTGACCGAAAAAAGAAAATGTAAATTTATCCTGTTTCTTTTTTACCATGTAATACTAAATTGTATTAACCTATTTTTCTAAATACGATTTTTTAAAATATTTAAATTCTAAATAAATTTTTAAATAATTTAATCTATTATTTTTGACTAGTAATTGTTTGCTTTATGAATATCACTACAAGGAAACAAAAGGTAATTGGTACAAAAGAAGTCAGTCTCACACTACTCTTGCATTCCTCCTGCACCGTTCATGTCTTTAAAAAACAAAAAGGGGTTCTGTATTCTAAATTAGCTGGTTAATTTTCTTGTTTTTGCCTTTCACATTTTATGTACAGAGTGAAAAACGGGTAGAACTCGTTATGTATTAACAGTAGTGTGTTTATGTGGCCCAGTGTTAACTGACAACTCGTTTGATAATTCGCCCAAACCTTACAAGAAGATTTTCTAAAAAACACAGTGAGAGAAGATTTCTGGGGTTTGTAGTCGTTTATCGTCACCTAATCTGGGAACTGTGTTCTTCTGTGACCAATGTTTTCTGCTGAAGGAGGAGACCGCTTTCTTACCCAGATCAGCAGTCTGGCGTGTGTGTTGCCAGGTGCTCTGAGCGGGTGCTGTTTAAGCAGAACATCAGTGCTGGGGACTGGCTGGCAAACCTCTTCTTTCCTGTCTTCCTTCAGTAGTCTGAGAGTGCACACAGGTAAGGTTTGTGGGTTTGTGAGAGCTGAGATGTGATTTCTCGTCGCTCTGTCACCCCCTCCTGCAGAAGGCCCCTGCCTTGTCCACACCATCACTGGAGACTTGCTGAGAGCGCTTGAAGGACCGGAAAACTGCTTGTTCCCACGTCTGATCTCTGTCTCCAGTGAAGGCCACTGTATCATATACTACGAGCGAGGCCGCTTCAATAACTTCAGCATTAACGGGAAGCTTCTGGCTCAAATGGAGATCAGTGATTCCACACGGGTAAATCTGCATGTCCAGTGCTAAATAGGGGCTGCAACCAAGCGGTTAAAGATTTAGCTGTTTTACATCAAGTGATTTATGGTAGAATTCCTCCAGTATCCCGATAAATGTGTACTGGCTTAAAAAGCACATATGTTCCAAACAATGTGGTACATGCATACAATGGAATACTGCTCAGCCAGAAAGAGAAGGACGGCCTCATACGTGCCACAGAACGGGTGAACCTTGAAAACATTATGTTGAGTGGAAGAAGTCACTCACAAGTGGACAGATAGGTATGGCCCCACTTCAGTGAAATATCTAGTATAGGCAAGTGTACAGAGACCGGCGTTTCCCAGTGGCTACCAGGCAAGGGAGGGAGGAAGGAGGACGCAGGGCCTGGGGGATGCTGAGCTTCTGTTAAGGGTGATGGTATAATTTGGGAATGGATAAGGTGTTAGTTGAGCAACATGATCAACGTAATTAATGCCACTGAACTTTACATGTGAAGATGGTTGAAATGTCAAAGTTTTCTTACATATATATTTACCACAACAAAAATACATATGCAAAAAACGCATATAAATTCATGTAGATTGATACTTTGAATGAACCTAAAGTTCATCTGATCTAAGTAATTAACTCAGTGAATTACAGTTTAGAGGTGATAGTGGTCAGTCCCTTAAGGAGATTGGTTTTAACTCCTTTTACAAATCATTGTTTCAGCCCAGTGACCTCACAACATGAAAAGTCAGTTTGTTGTCAAAGAACCTTGTCTTTAGAACCCTAGACAGAAATGAAACATACTCAATTGCCCTTCATTCCCGCGTGAATTATAATTGCCGGTCCATCATTATTAAAAGCTATTTTGAAATATGCTTCTATTTGCTCAAAAAGCCTCAGCATTAATAATATTCAGGACTTAACAAAACATCATGTTACTTAATTCTCAAGTTACTCTTGGATTAGGTGGATAATATTCTCTTTGGGACGTCAATTATTTTTAGCTTAATTTGGTTTTAATAAGATCCTTTGCACCTGTAAGAGCCTTGATGCATTCCAGCTTGGGAATTCTGCGGGTTGCATTGTAGCAATGTGGCCAGTCGCTGGGAGTAGACCAGCTGTGAGGAAACGTGTGAGAAAGAGTCCATAAGGAACTGTACGGGGTGCTTCTGAGGAGGGTGCTCCTGAGGAGGGTGCTCTGGCCGCTTGGGAAACCCCGAGGGATGTGGTTGGCTTTCTGTCCTCTCCTGAAGGCCATCCTCTTGAGCAGCGACGGGCAGAACCTGGTGACGGGCGGGGACAATGGCGTGGTGGAGGTCTGGCAGGCCTGTGACTTCAAGCAGCTGTACATCTACCCCGGATGTGACGCTGGCATCAGAGCCATGGACTTGTCCCACGACCAGAGGTGAGCACGTCGGGGAGGGACTGACCCCCAGAACGCTGGCACGTGTGGCATGTATCTGTGGAGGAGATCCGCGTCCAGGTGGAAGGCGGCTAGTGCAGAGAAGGGTAAACTGAGGACAGAGTGAGGACTAGAGGTGGCTCTGGTGAGAGGGAAGCAGAGGACGGACAGAGGAAAACAGTTACGGCACATCCAGGCACACTGTAGGGGCCCAAAGTACAGAACGTGTCCCCACGGGCTTCTCTGAGCCCAGGTCCTCACCTCGTCCTGGGCAGGTGGCCCCGGGTTTCCAGGGGACAGGGAAGCTGGTCCTTCCCCAGCAGGGTGGGGGCAGCTCGAGGCTCTCGTCCTCCTAGCGAACACCAGCAGGTGCTGAGCGCGGCCACGGCTGGCTTCTGGTTTAGAAGGTGCGAGGCACTCGCTCACTGCTTGACATCATTCCCCCCTTTTCTTATCCCCCGTTTCTGTTTATGTTGCTTTGTTGTTTTTTTACGTGTTCCTGTCCGACACCTGAATCCCTTCTGGAAAGGGTTGATATGAACGTCGGTCAATACGGTTTCTCATTGTTCTTCATTTTGCGAGAGAGAGAATTATCTTATTTCCTAAAATTCAACTTTGGGTTCATTATAAAGTGAAAAGACTATAGGAACATAAAGTCTAAAGCTTCAAAATTGTAAAAATAAACTAAAACTATATAATTTTAACATGGCGTGTAATTTATCATTTTTTCCTATATATTTAACAGAAATAAGAAAAGCTTGGTAACCAACCTTTTTAAGCTATAGACAATATTCCTTGCAGGAGTAAGGAATTTGTAAATATTGTAAATATTAAGACATGCAATAAATTTAACAAAGCATCTTCACAACCGAGTAGAATGATTCTGAAGTCACTAAAAACAACGTGATTTAGTTTAGTTTGGGAGAAGGTGTGTTTAGTCTGAGGGAAGACTTTTCTGTTTTTGGTTTTGTTTTTGCACAGACTGTTTGCAAAGAGAGTTTAAACAGGTTAATATTGGTAGACTATCCACAGTGCTGCTGTCCAGAGTTGTGAATAAATGAGGATAGTTTATTGTGTAATTATTTGTATAAAAAACCTGTTGCCATCGAGTCGATACCGACTCGTAGAGACCCTATCATTTTAGAAACACCCAGGTGTATCTTTGTGTGTACATGTATATTCGTATATACCTGGGTGTTTCTAAAATGATTGAAATAATCTGTGTTCTTAAATAGTTTAAATGCTGCCCGATATGCTGATCTGTTCATGTATTCATTTTGCAAACATTTGCTGTCACCGATAGGTTCAGTGCTATGCAGAGTACGGAGGATACGTGAAAAGATTACTGACCTCAAAACCAAAAAACTAAAAACTCAGACCCAGCGCTGTCAAGTCCCTTCTGACCCATGGCGACCCCATGTGTTACAGAGTAGAACTACTTTATAGAGTTTTGTTGGCTGCAGTCTTTACAGGAGCAGATTGCCAGGCCTTTCTTTTGTGGTGCTGCTGGGTGGGTTCGAACTGCCAACCTTTAGGTCAATAGATTAGCAAATGTTTTGCACCACCAGGGAGCTTACTGATCTCAGAGCGCTCAAAGATTCACAATGCAGCAGCTGTAGGTGAGGGAAGCAGGAACAGAGCAGCAGAAGGAGGCAGAGATTGGCTCTTCCTGAGGCGCGAGGAGAGTGGGAAAGGCCTCCCGCCTACCCGTTCGCCAGGTGTGGGGAGAAGGGTGGAGGCGCATGAGCAAGGTCAGTCATGCCAGGGCTCCGGAGAGCCGAGTGGGGAAAGATATGATTCAGATTTCTGTTTCCAGTTAATCTCATCCTTAGCGTCCATTCTTTTTGTTGTTTGACCGCGTACCTGATACTTTGGAGCAGTACTGCATGCTTCTAAACGGATATACATTTCAGGGGGATTCACGCTCAAAAGTGTTCATCTGATGAGGTATCTGATCAGAAGTAAAGCAACCACTGGTGTGGACAAAATTGCCTCAGGAGAGCCTGTGGAGTAAGGATTCCGGGGGGCGCAGTGACCAGAGGAGACTAAGGAAAGAAATGTCAGAGATGGGAAGGAAGGCGGGAACCCTCAGAGAGCCAGGAGAAGAGGGGTGTTCCCAAGGAGGAGGTGGACAGGCATAGGATGATGCTGAGAGGCGGCCGGGTGCTGGTGA